AGCGGTGACTGGAAAAAAAAAGTACAGTTTCTGTTACTCAGACGTAGATGGATGAATGAATGCGTGTCCTCTACACCTTCAATATATACAGCATTCAAAGGCTCTCAGCATGCTAACAAAATCTTCCTAATGTTCTGCTGTGGATCAGAACCACAAACATCTGTTTGTATTGCTGCTAGAAGTATCTTTGGCATTCTGAAAGATCGGCCTAATAATGGTGTCATGACAATGCTGTCATTCACAGAAAACAACCATTCTGTATGTCATTGTCAAGAAGTTTCCTTGAGCAAGCGGTATAGCTTCTATGAAGGCTGAGACTTCGTTGGAGTAGCAGGAGCACTAGGCATCTGATTGTTTGCATCCACTCCATCATTACTGTGGACGTCGGAGAAGAACCGTTCTAGAAGACAGAGCATAGTTAGATTCAAAAAATACGAACAGCCTTTCATTGTTAAGGATATCTCACTGTAAGTATATCTTATTGTATAAACACTGTTTTAATCATATGTAAAAACTAGCAACTACCATTCAAAATGGTAATTATTTCTTAACATTTATTGTAATAAAAGTTTCGAAAAAACTCAGTTGGTAATTTCTCCTTTATGTAACAATGACACAATATGTAGATCATTGTTAGCACAACATTGCATAAAAACATCACATTGCAACAACAGCAGAGCTTTAAATACAACTAACCCACCTTCAGCACCAATTATATGTGGAGGGTCAGTATCAGGGTTGTTTCCAGGCATCAATCCTGTAATCATACTGTAATCCATGTTATCATCTAAAGCTATAAAGGAGTTATTCCAACGTGGTACTGGAGTAGTCCTTGGAGTACTGCGAGGTGTGGTCACTGGGGATGTAAACATAATGAAGTTTGTGGGACTGATGACTTCACTCACTGGGGTAATTCCTGGATACGAAAACAGCTGGAAAATCAAGAAGTCAATGAGCGAAGCATTCATGAACCATTTTCCAGTACTACGACATTTATTCTAAGTAAAACAGCACTAAAGACCAACAAGTGAAAATATTTAAAAAAATCTAACAAGTTCAAGTGCTTTAGTAACGTGGTCCCTCTTCATTAGTAGCAGAAAAAGGTACAGGGCTTTACTCTCCTCTACCACCAATGAAGAATAGACAATTCTTTAAAAAGTGATCAAACTTGTATGGACATGTTTTTTTTATACTGAAAAAGCAACAAATTTGCATGGTTTACATTTTAAATAGTTAGTCATTCTGTTTCTGGTTGTGTTGATGTTTGGAACTGAAATATTTCTGTTAAAAAATACAATGCTGTAGATTTCTAAGATTGGGATATGTGTATGTGACACTTGGCTTATTTTTTCAAATTATGCTTTATTCGCTTGCTAATTAGATATCATGCAATACATGAACTTTCTGTGGTTAGAGTTGTTCCATTCTAGTACATTGGCACTACACACCTCAGGCTGGAGATGGATGTGGCCACAGAAAAGTTCCAGTCTTATGATCTGACTTGACATACCTGAGGCTGAGGACGGATGTGTCAGGAGTTATGTACTAGTCTTGTGATCTGACTTGACATACCTGGGGCTGAGGATGGATGTGAGCAAAGCTATGTTCTGGTCTTGTTAACATTGTGAATGGACTGCTCATCACAGATCTGTTGACAGGAGATGAATCTTGGGAACTAGAGGATAAGCCCACTGCTACTGATTGAAAAAAAAAAATAGCTTCTTTTTACTGATTAAATAGGTTGTTACAATTTTTAGAAACATTAGAAATAAAAATATCATTATAATTTTGAAAAAAAATGTTTAAACTGTAGTGTTAAACCTTCCAAATAATTAACCCCTGAAAAAAAAATGTATACATAAAATCTTCACTATCCTCCTAAACAGTGAGAATAAAATAAATACAAACATACTAAATGCTGCAACATTCAGTTATTTTAATCCAAGAAACAGGTCTGAAGTTATGTAGTTTAAACTGCAAATAGAAAAGAATAAGTCACCCGAAACACCATATAGACAGAGTATTCATATTCGAATACTTTGGAAAGGAAAATTAAAGTATCCATATTTGCTGAATGGTTTAGTGAATGCAAACTTCTGTCCTCATCAAATTTATACTGTCATTATTACATCCACAGCATGTTAATTTCTCTTTCAGTACAAGCTTCGTTCCCATTTTTCTGTACAGAAAACAATGTAATATAATAAGTCATTCGATAGATGAAAACCTTGGCTTTCTATTGTTTATAAATAATATAGTATTGAACATAAGAGAGAACTATTGACAAATACTGAAAGACATGATGCGATAGATGGGTGTGGCAAGAGGGGTCTGACATTCTATTTGATGGCTATGTAACCAAACAAAATTGAAGGCTATGACAATTATGCTTTATCTGAGCAATGACAGCATTATAATGAGTAATTTACTTTAAATTTTATACTTTTTGGACGGTTGGTAAATAAATTAGAGAATGGGGGGATGCCTAGAGAAAAAAGTAATTTCTGACACTAGGGGAAATTCAAGATTTTTAAAAAATATTTTCTTATAAAATTAAGAACTTAAAACTTATATAATATTAAAATATGGATTATTAACTATGATTTTATGCTATACTAATTGGTACAATATGAACAAAAATTTAATTTAATTTAATTTTAATTTAATTTAAGTTTAATTGAATTTTGAATGTAACTTACTAAAAACATTGTGACATGCACAGTAAAGAAAGCCTGTGGCAAGAGGGATAAAATCAGTTCAGTACTCTCCAAGTACCTTAAACATTATTGTAGTACATGGCTATTAATCCAGTCAAGTCACTTGAGAGAATTTGATATGGCTACTAAACTGCCTTCAGTGGTACATGAACACTTCATACTTCCCACTGATAGATCTAGTCACATCAAGGCAAAGTGTAAATATTGTGAGCAGACTATTTCTACTTCTGGAAAAAAACACTTCTAATTTGCTGACACATCTGAGGGTAAGCCTTTTTATTATTTTTGTTATTATGAACTATATTCTATGTAAATTGTACAATATAATATAGATAAACTAAATTTCTCATGCATGTTAAACAATATTTTTTATTATTTTTGTTATAAACTATATTCTATATTATATAACTAAGATATTTATTTAATACGATATTTTTATTATTATAACAAACTATATTCTATAGTTAAACTAAATTTATCATGGTTTGAACTATATTAATTATTTATTACTATATGCTCTCTATTATTTTTATTATAAACTATATTCTATATTATATAACTGAGATACACATTTGTATTTCTAGTGCAATCATGAAACAGAACTACAGAAGTCTACATCTGGCTATTGTTAATCATGAGACAGAACTAAAGTCTACATCTGGCTCTGGTTAGTCATGAGACAGAGCTACAGAAGTCTACATCTGGCCCCAGTTAGTCATGAGACAGAGCTACAGAAGTCTACATCTGGCTTCAGTTAGTCATGAGACAGAGCTACAGAAGTCTACATCTGGCTTCAGTTACTCTGTCTCATGACCTACAGAAGTCTACATCTAGCTATGGTTAATCATGAGACAGAACTAAAGAAGTCTACATCTGGCTCCGGTTAGTCATGAGACAGAGCTACAGAAGTCTACATCTAGCTATGGTTAATCATGAGACAGAACTAAAGAAGTCTACATCTGGCTCCGGTTAGTCATGAGACAGAGCTACAGAAGTCTACATCTGGCTCCAGTTAGTTATGAGACAAAGCTACAGAAGTTTACATCTGGCTCCGGTTTGTCATGAGACAGAGCTACAGAAGTCTACATCTCGCTCCAGTTAGTCATGAGACAGAACTACAGAAGTCTACATGTCGTTCCAGTTAGTCATGAGACAGAGCTACAGAAGTCTACATCTCGTTCCAGTTAGTCATGAGACAGAGCTACAGAAGTCTACATCTGGCTCCGATTAGTCATGAGACAGAGCTACAGAAGTCTACATCTGGCTCCGATTTGTCATGAGACAGAGCTACAGAAGTCTACATCTGGCTCCGGTTAGTCATGAGACAGAGCTACAGAAGTCTACATCTAGCTATGGTTAATCATGAGACAGAACTAAAGAAGTCTACATCTGGCTCCGGTTAGTCATGAGACAGAGCTACAGAAGTCTACATCTAGCTATGGTTAATCATGAGACAGAACTAAAGAAGTTTACATCTGGCTCCGGTTTGTCATGAGACAGAGCTACAGAAGTCTACATCTCGCTCCAGTTAGTCATGAGACAGAACTACAGAAGTCTACATCTCGTTCCAGTTAGTCATGAGACAGAGCTACAGAAGTCTACATCTGGCTCTGGTTAATCATGAGACAGAACTACAGAAGTCTACATCTAACTCTGGTACTTCCACCCAGGTGCAGCAGCATACAATAGCAGCATACTGTATGGAATCAACTAAATATAAGTCGACACATCCTCGTCAGAAGCACATCACTGACAAACTCATCAATTGTATTGCCAGTACACTACAACCATTCTCAGTGGTGGAGTCAAAAGATTATCAAGATATAACGGCAGCCATAGATTTTTCGTATATTCTTCCCAGTTGCAAGCATCTGTCGACAATGTTGATCGATAGCAGGTGTGGTGAAGTCCAACAAAAAGTCATCTCTCTACTGCAACTTGTATGCAACATTAATGTCACTGTGGATATCTGGAGTATCAGAGAAATGTGCAGCTTTCTTGGAGTCACTGGTCATTTTATACTTGACAGGAAAATGCAAACAGTCATGCTAACATGCTGACATTTCAAGGGATGTTACACATCTGATAACATTGCAGCTCAATATGATGAAATAATAAATCCCTTAAACATAAACAACAAGTCTAATAATGCATCCAACATGATCAAGGCTTTCTGCTTGCCTGAATTTGAACTGCAAACACTACCTAGTATGAGAGATGGTGATAGTTCATCTATAGATGGTGACACACTACCTTGTATGAGAGATGGTGATAGTTCATTTACAGATGGTGACACACTACCTAGTATGAGAGATGGTGATAGTTCATCTATAGATGGTGACACACTACCTAGTATGAGAGATGGTGATACACTACCTAGTATGAGAGATGGTGATAGTTCATTTACAGATGGTGACACACTACCTAGTATGAGAGATGGTGATAACTCATCTACAGATAGTGACTCAGAAGATGAACTTTTAGATAAATCTAAATCAGCAAACAATTTATCAGCATTTCTTCCTGAACATGACCCTTGCTTTTCCCACATACTACAGCTTGTGGTCAGGGATGGCATGAAATAAGCTGGACCACTGCTGAAAGTAATTTCCAAAGCATCAGCCAGTAAGTCCTAAATTCAAAAATCAATGCAAGCAACTGATCTACTTGAGGGAGAGGCCAGAGTTCGGTCGGTAACACCAACAAGATGGAACTATGAAATTAAAATGATTAAGTCTTTATTGAAGATTCCCCAGAATAAGTTGGATAATCTAGATACTGGTATATCGAAACTTACTTCTCACGATCTAACTGTACTTGCATATTTGGTGACAATACTGACACCTTTTGAAGAGGCAACAGGTTTTACTCAGGGTGAGAACATTATCGTCTGCAGATATAATTTCAATCTTGCCTCTTCATTAAATAAATCTTTTCACGTCTGATTTGACTCAGACCGAGCAATAAAGTGTCTTCTGCTTGGCTGCAGCATTGGATCGCAGGTTTAAACTTGACCAGTGTTTCACTAGACTTTGGTCTATGAATCCAATAGAATGCTCTTGCAGCAAGAAGTCAAGAATATTTCCTCCACACAAAAGAGGACTGTAAATCCCTCCCCTGTCCAAAGAAGTAAGCTCTTTAGTTTCTTTGCTGCCTCCAAGAAACCAGCCACCTCATCTTCAGAGATCAATACTTACCTCGATGGTCCTTGCATTCCTGAAGAAAACAACCCTTTAAATTATTGGAAGATCCATGAAAAAAACACTTTCCTACCCTATCTCTATTAGCAAATGCTACATGAGTGCTTCAGCATCCTCTACTCCCATTGTGCATTTGTTTAGTATTGGAAGCAAAACCCTCAGATTTTATTGCTGCCACCTCACTAAAAAGACATTTGAGAGACAGATGTTCATAAACAACAATGGATGGTTATAATATCTACAAGTCTCCTATAAAAATAATTTCTGTTCTTAAACTTTGTTATTGCATTTGGAAAAATAAAAGTATTTAAATGTTATCATTTGTTTAAAGTTTGTTTGTTTCATAAAATAAAAGTATTGAAATCTTATTGTTTACTGTTTTATCATTATTGCATATTACTTGACAAAGTATTCATGAAGTATTCATATTGGAATACTTCGCATTTTTCCTGTATTCGTTTTTGTATTCATAAAAATATGAAGCATTCATAATGGTATTAAATTACCAATCTCCAGTATTCACCCCATCCCTGACAACATATGATGTTGATATTTTTATTTTGTATTCAAGCTCATTTCGACATGTTACATAACAACAGACAGTTTATAAATGCCTGTTAAAGTAGACACAGTTATACATTCAACCAAACAGTTACAAGTATTTACAACTTACTCAGTTATAATTAGTTAGTTATTACAAAACGTAATTTATTAGGTGCTGATGCATATGATTATAGATATCCTATAAACACTACAGTTATAATTAAACCAGATACACTACTTAGAATGCAGAGGTAACAGGTGAACTTACACACTGATGTCGTAGGGGGTGGCGACATCTGATCCCTGCTGTCTCTATCTCCAGTGCTGCTTGGGCCTGGGATGTCCGAGTCTGATGTAACACAGGTTCCACTAGTAGATGTGGCAGGTGGACTTGGAGTTGTTGGACTCAAATCTGTGATAAAAAAAAAAATAATAATATATATACACTATAGATAACATGAAGAAAATATTTTTGAAAGAAAGTTAGTTCACAGAATAATCAATATAAATATATAATAAGAATTTGTAAATCATCCAAACAAATGCTTAACTGTATCTATCCATATTTTAATAAAACAAAAGTACATATACATCACTTCTTTGGTGAAACTCCTCTCTGTAATTCAAAGTTTCTGACTAGTGTTAGCAAACTGTGTTCGGTTAGTTCCAAAAGTTCATCTATCAGGTTTTAATAAAAAAGTCTTTCAACTCTCATGTAATGAAAAACAACATAATATTAAAATGCATCACTATTTACATTAAACTGATGCACATATACATATATTTCATACAAAGATGCATAAACACAAAATCCTAACACTAATAACTTTAATAACAGGTGAATTGTGCTATTCATTTAATGCTAGTTTAAGTCTATTAATTAACTCTTTCAGCATGGGCTCGGTCCCTGGGACCGACCTCATAACCATTTTGTACTTGTTATAGTTTTCATGCTATAGCTGTTAAATTAGCAAGTGTATGTTCACAAAATTTGGCAGATTATCAGTAAACATTACAAGGCTTTTGTCCACAAAATATCAAGATATTTTTTATTAAGTCTTAAGGCTTTTTAAGTAACCTTTTTCTCATGCCTTTTTTCTTTTCGCATGTTGCCTATCCAACATGCAAAGTAATTTTCATTTTAAGGTTAAAAATACTTTTATGCATTAGAAAATTTTCTAATTTCAAATGTGAAATTTTTATAACCTCCAGATAATTATCAAACGTTTTTTAAGAAAAAACTTTATATTTCATTTGTTATTTTCAATATTGAATCTCTGTACTGGTTCAGTAGATTTTACCAATCTCGTAATCACCACAAAAAATTTGGAAATAAATATAAATTATGGTTTTTTCATTCTAGAATTACTACATATTATAACTTGAAAACAGAAATGTTTAGCCTAAATAGCTTAAATGTCAACATTATACATTTATATTATATTGTCCTTTCAGCTGTGCCTGGCTAACTTTACACATGTTACAATGATGCAGCACACGTGCAATCATGTTACCATAATCAATAATATAAAACTGACCTTTAGGCTTTACAAAGTGACTTGTCTTGGATGTGTTTTAGTGGAGTAGTATTTTGTAAAAATACAGTCACATTTCTGTTATAATACATTATATATACATACAACAGTAAATAAAGAAGTAGAGCAAACAATTATCTCTTCTAGTTATGACCTCTGTACTCAGTTGCTGCTTGACGTAAGTTGGCAAGCCTTTTAAAATTTTACACGTGGAGGATATGAAATGAAATAATTTTTTTAGCTTTTGTATATTCAGTTGAATAACCAAAAAAAACTTATAAATTACTATATTGATACCATCGAATTCCACTATAATTTATCAAGTTTAGTAACTAAGCTGTATTTCGGTCTACAAAAATATGAAATTTCAAGCAGACTGAAGGCATAACCTACCTCTTTGAAATCTTAGGTTGAAAGAACGAAATAGCATCCTAACACTTTAAAATGGCTGAGAAGGCCACTAGAGATATATCCTGAGCTTCTGATTGGTTATTCACATGTCATATACAGAAGAAAGTGTGTATAAGGAAGTGTTTCCAAAAATGTGTGTGTGATTCAGTACATGAGCAATATATCAGCAAACAGAAAAGATAGGAGGTACTTATTTGAGTTCCTAATTCGTAAGAAACTATAGACTTTGTATTTGGACTTCACAAACATATAATTTGAACTAGTGCTGCATTCAACATACCATGTGACACACAAAAATCAATATTTAGGTTTTTTTCATATTTACTTTTAAATTAAGAAATTAAATAATTATAATATTCAATTCGATACCAAACTTATTGACATAAATTCATAAAATAGTAGTTCAATAAAATTTCGAATATGAGTCAACAAATGAGATGACATGGCCTTTAACTCATGTGGAAAGGGTTAATAAACTTTCCCTTATTCTTAACTCCTGTTCATTCTTAGCCCTAGCCAAGATTTAAAAATTTTCTATTTATGGGCACATGTCTCTTAATATTTGAATATGACATGGGTCTGAAATTTGCATACATTAGTATATGTGTTTTTAATACTCTAGCAGTAGAACTTATTTAATTTAAATTATATTAGGACATTACATTGATATACAATGTTTGATCCCTCTATTTTTTTTATCCCACACACTACCTTAAATACACATCTCAATTCTACTTATGGATAATTCCAATGGAATATTTTTCTTAACTGATTTCTAATCTCTACCAACTACTTATAATTATTTCTTTATCTATTACAAATGATAATAGCAAACTTGTGAAATTGTGCAACTAAAATCAGAGAGAATAAGTTAAAAAAGGTATTAGTTAAAATTAAAGAAGGACAATTTACTGACAAACAATGAACACTGTACTTTAATACTACTTTATTCTCATGTAGGGATTATGTATGGTGTTCATAGGATTCATAAATATGCATCATGTCCCACAAGACCAACACTGTTAGCTATAGCTTTGAGTTTTCACTAGAAACAAAAAATTAAACCTTCAATAAAAGGGTGCACTGTGCTAGCTTTGACATACAGTCTTTATACATTAACTTACCACTACATGAGACTATAAGATTGTGTACACAACCATTGTACCATTATCATAATGGTCAAATGAGATTTTCAAAACATATGTCTTATGAAGTCACGAGCATTGTGACTAAAAAATCTCATTTTTTGTTTAATAATGAAACTGGTGATCAATTGGATCGGCTTTCTATGGGGTCAAGATTAGCCCAATCAGTTGCAAATGTGTTTCTTTGTAATCATGAAAAAAACGTGGCTTGAGGATTATGCTGTACAGTTCAAACCAATATATTACAGAAGATATGAAGATGACATTTTTATCATCTTTAGAGAGGTCAAACATTTTGAGTTTTTAAAGATACCTCAACAATAAACATCCTGATATTGAACACCAACATAGTCAAAGACTTTCTTTCTTATATTTACTTCTTAATAACAATGATGGAAAATTTCACTGAAAATTTCCACAAAAAGACAGTTCATCAAGCATACGAGTTAAACAGTAAATATGAATTTTTTCATAAAGAGATAGAGTATATCAAGGAATTCCTAATAACAAAATGCTTTTCCAACAAATATTATAAATCAAGTTATCCCCGATTATTTAAATAAGAGGATCCTTCCAGCATCATTCACATGCAAAATAGCAGAACAAAAAAATTACTTTTGTTTTACCATATACCAGAAAGCAGGACATACAGATTAAAAATTCAGTTAAGAAAAATAATTCATTGGAATTAGTAGGTAGATTCAAAATGTGTATTTAAACTAGTCTAGAATAAAAAAAACTTTTTTAGTTACAAAGAGTGAATACCTATTTATCAAACATCAAATGTAGTATATCAATACAAATGTTGTAATTGTAATTAAATTATACAAGTTCTAATACACGGGTGTTAAAAACACATAAACAAGAGCATGCAAATTTGATATCCATGTCATAATCAAATATTAAGAGACATGTGCTATACCAGTGTAATGAACCCATAAATAAAGAATATTATAAAATCTTGGCCAGAGTTATTCAGGAAGAGGAGTTAAGAATAAGGGAAAATCTATTAATTGATCAACTTAAACACAGATTAAATTACCAGAATTGTTGAGTTCAGTTATTATTAAAGTTCATATAAAGATTATTCATAGTAATAATCTCATACTAGTTTGTCTGTAACCATAATTTTAATACTTGTACTTGTGTAACTTCTTACTTTTCTTATTACAGAGGTATAAAATCCCACGAAAATGGAGAAGAGTATTTTACCTGTACATCTGATGATGGCAACAGGCCTAGCCATTGGAGCTGGGGGTGGGGGAGGCAACATAGCACTGGTATAGTAGTGAAGCTTTGAAGGACTTCTACTCCCAGAGTCACCCGCTGACTGAAAACACAGTAATCATACACATTTTTAATTAACCTATTAAATATCACAAATACAAAAACTCTTTCAGTTCTTGATTTTAATTATTTCACAAGGAACACATCAAAAATTTACAGACGGTTGATTTCTTGGGTTATCTGTGGTGTTGAGCCACCCACCATTCCTCTGTTGTTTTTTTTTGACAAATTCTTGCTTGCTCTTCTAAGTACTATAAAACAGTTTTACCTGTGGTGATGAGCCACTATTCCATGGGTTTTCTGTCTTACATGTGGAGAAACCTTTACCTGGGGTGATAAGCCATTTCTCCCCTGGTTTTTCTGACAATCTTAATTTAGGAGATGAGCTACTGCAGCCCTAACACAGTCCTACCTAAGGTTATGAACCATTGCTCCTAAATCATCTGATAGACTTTTACCTGTGTAGACAAGCTACTGCTCTCCTGGGTTTCTAGACACAATTGTACCTCTGGGTAAGTGCTTACCTGTGGAGATGGACCACTACTTCCCTGGGTTTCCTGACACACCAAGTTCACAAAGTCTGAAAGGGTGTCCCCATTCTCCTGATACTTCTGACCCAAAAAATAAGCTGGAGATGGTGCAAGTCCGCCAAGGTTGTGGGTTGGGGATACAAGATTTAATGAACTATGCTGGTGAGTTAAAGCTGATAAAAATAAATTGGAAAAATACCTGTAAATCTAAAAGCTTAATAAATAAAAGCTATCAAGCAAACTTAATCATAAAACTTGTGTTTTTCTTGAACAAACACTTTTTAATCCTGAGAAAATTACTCACTAAAGAAAATTTCAAAACCATTTCAATATTGTATCAAAAGCACAATTTTACTCTAATTTGCTAGTTTAATTAATCTAAATATATCTGTTACCTTTTAAAAAAATAGTATTTCATTCATAACTATTTTAATTTTTTGAATAGTATTGCATGTATAAAAAAAACAGATCAATTTCTTAATTTTTACCTTCAATGCCCAATTATATCACCAATTTCCAAATGATGTAAAAAAAAGGATTGTGACAGTACCTGCTTTGGTAAGAATGACTCAAGATTGATCCACTGCTTTGGTAGGACTGATTCATGATTGATAAGTTTTAGACCCTGCTTTGGTAGGATTGATGATTTAGACCCTGCTTATGTAGGATTGGCTCAGGATTAATGTTTTAGACCTTGTTTATGTGGGACAGGCTCAGGGTTGACAGTTTAGACCCTGCTTATATAGAACTGGCTCAAGATTGATGTTTTAGACCCTAATTATGTATGATTGGTCCAGAATTGATGGTTTAGACACTGTTTTGATATGATTGGCTCAGGGCTGACAGTTTAGAGCCAAAGGAAGTGCTAATCACAAGTTAATCATATCAAGGCAGATGCTTCATTAAAAGTACATAACGAGTCAACAGCTACCTGATAAATTGTAAAAGGAATAAGTTTAAAGCTCTTTAAAACTAATAAATAGTGAGTCAAACCTTCAAAATCTTACAGTAATATATGCAAAAACAGAAGTATGTCTGTCAGGGTTGCACTTAGCTAAGCCAAATTTTTCCTCATGGTCACCTCTAATTAGCTTTATCTAAGGTATGGTCATTAAACCAGTTAAAACTGTAGCATCAAAATGATTTTTTAAAAAACCAATTTTCAGAGTATTGTTTCCATTATGTATGCTAACAAAAAAAATATTACATTTGTGTTATTTTAAAGACAACACACATACAGTAAACGTGTCTGAACATGTTTTTGTTTTTTTTAAGTTTCAAATAGGGTTACTGTGTAATTTTCTAAAATTTTGTTTGTAAATTCAATGTTTTGTTTAGTTCCGAGAATTCTGTTAACAAGTGCAAAAACATGTATGACATATTCAAATTTTTGAAAGAGAGGGTGTTATAAAATAATTGTACTATTAACAAGTGCTTTGTTTGTTTGTAATTATGCACAAAGCTACACAATGGGCTATCTGTGCTCTGCTCACCATGGATATCGAAACCCAGTTTCTTGCATTGTAAGAGTGCAGACAGACTGCTGTGCCACTGAGGGGCATTAACAGTTGCATAAATAGGGATGATTTATATACTGTAGACTAAATAAACCAAGATTGACAGATTGGTTTTTAGTTTTAAAAGGACTTTTAAAAAGATATCTTACTGGACAAATATTAGCTGTGTGTAGTGTGTGTGTATATATATATATATATATATATTTTTTTTTTTTTTTTT